GTATTTTCTCATCTGTTAAGAGTGGAAAAATCTTCAGATATAAATTTGTAAAGGTACAAATGTTAAGGTGACTGTAAAAAGACACAAAAAGAGTAACATGATTTCTGTTCAGCAAAGAATATCCTTAAATTAACCTGCACATTAAAAATTATAGAAGGCATTTTCATTCTCTACAACTAAAAAACTACCCTAGAGCTGGAGATTTAGCTCAGCAGTTCGGTGGCCTGTCTTGCAAGTGCAAGGACCTGAGTTCAATCCCAGGTACCAAACAAAAACAAAAACAAAAACAAAAACCTATCCTCAACACAAATATGAATACATAATATAAGCAAATAAATTACAGAAAAGTGTACACAGGATGGGGAGGAAAAGAAGGCATCAAACAAAAGAAAAATGGAAATGAATATCAATCCAAATCAGAAAAATTAATCAAATTTGAAAATGTTTGGTATTTGTCCAGAAGAGAGCTAGGAATTATTGCCCCCTGGTGGTGTAGTGTGCATAGTGTTTTAGATTTTAAACTGTTATTCACGCTTCTCTAGCAAGCATGCTCCTGAGCATCAGTGGCACGTTCTCTAATTTGTTTCTACGGCAGCAGAAGAGAGAATGCTTACAGTGCATTTATATCACTGATAGAACTTGAAAAGGCAAGTGAGGAATCATGTGACATCCACATGTTTTCTGAAGAATAGAATCACCACTGAATATCTCTGACTTAGTAGGGTCAGCAATCATGTGAGATCCTGGATGACAGGGCACCATGAGAGGGCAAAAAGATCCCACGTGTTGACATTTTTCTAACTCTGCATTACAAATCCAAGGTGAGTGAAACAAAAATCTCACAGTCTGAACTTGAACACTTTTTCTCTCCTTTTAAATTAATTAAACAATTAATTAATTCAGACAGTGTCTTACTATGTAGCCCAGACTGGCTTTGAACTCATGGCAATCCTTCTGATTTAGCATCCTGAGTGCTGAGATTACAGGCATGCACCACCACACCAGGCAGTTTTTCTCTTCTACCCCTCCCCACCTCCTTTCAGATTCTACTAGAGCAAAAATCCACAAAGATCTTCACAGCTTGGTGTGCTATAATGACACAAGTGAAGATGTAGAGGCCAGACAAAGGGGAAAGTGTCTTTTTTGTTTGTTTGTTTTTGGTACTGGGGATGGAATTCGGGTCCTTGCGCTTGCAAGGCAGGCCACCGAACCGCTGAGCTAAATCCCCAGCCCAGACTTCTAGTCACAAGCATTTTTTTCCCCCAGTACCAGGGATCAAATTCAAGCCTTTGTGCTTGAAAGGCAGGTGTGGTGCCACTGAGCTAAATCCCCAGCCCCGACAAAGGGGAAAGTGAAGTGAAGCTTTGTGCTTTACCTCAGCTGTGCCCCTTCTGAAGAGGCCATTCCCACAGGCTTCTTGAGGATGCCAACAAGAGAGAGTTCTCCACAAATGTGGGAAATTTAGGAGAACTCAGGCAAATTTGAGGGACTGCAGAATCCAGCCACCTATGGAACACAGAACAAATGCTCTTGGTGATCTCTTCCCTTAGATGTAATTCATGGCAAAGGAAAGTGCCTCGAGTATGGGAGGTGACAGTGCTAGACAGACAAGCATTCAGCCTATTAAGGCCAGGAAGAGGGAGCAGGAAAACAGAAGAGAGTAGGGTAGAAGGCCAAATACTTTCTCCAAGACTAAGTCAGTAAGAATGGTTCAGCACAAAATAGAACTAGGAATGGAAGGGTTTTCACTTCAGAAGTATACAAACACAGTGTCTTGTCAAACTGCTATCCTATCTCCTTGTCCTCATAGAAAAAGCAAGATATTATGACCACAGTGATGCATCTCTCTCTAATACTAAGTAAATAAACAACCAAATCAAACCAAAAAGAGAACACAAAAAAGCTATAGGACTGCTTTTCTTTTCTCATCAAAGCACTACTCATAATGTATCCTAGTTCAGTTCCTTGGAAAAACCCGACTAAATACAGCACTCAATACAGGGTACTATCTGATAAGCTTCATACTCTACATGGAAGGACTTTACAAAGAGTTGAAGGAATGAGTTGACACATTCTGCTTGACTTATCCAGGGAAGATATCTTGATCAACCTACAGGCAGTTCAAACTATAATGTATTGAAAATGCATTGAATATACATAATTAATCAAACAATGCTAAGCCTTGCCTCCTTTAAAATGGATAAACACACTTAATATTAACCTGTATTTGAGAAAAAGTATGTAACACATAGTTTCTTTCACGATAAAGTAATAAATATCTCATGTAACTTATTGAATGTACTGCAGTGCAAATCACTGGATGTTGTCACTGGTGTCCTGTCGCTGACAAAGCTGGGACTCACTGCTGCTGCCCAGCATCTGGAGCAAGTATACCACAGACCACTAATGTGCAAACAGTATGAAATTCCAAATCAGAGAAAATTTTCTACTGAGTATTATGACTTTTTCTTTTATGCTTTAGTACTGGGCTGAATTCAGGGCCTTGCACATGTTACACAAGTTACTTTAATTGGAGACACAGACCCAGTGATTTTGCTCTATGTTGATCTGGGTCTTACTCCATTGTCCACCTGGCCTTGCTACTGCAATAATCCTGCCTCAGCGTCCCAAGTGGCTGAGATGAAAGGTGGGCAGCACCATGCCTCACCGAAGTGTCATTTAACCAAGCACAGTGATCCAGGTTAATACTGGTGATGAAGAAACGACCCTTTTTTTTTTTTTTTTTTTTTTTGGTACCAGGGATCTAACTCAGGTCCTTGTGCTTGCAAGGCAGGTGGCAGAACTTCTGAGCTAAATCCCCGGCCCTAAGAAATCCCCATCTTAAGGAGGAATGGCGGCACATGCCTGGCATCTCAGCACTCCAAGAAGCTGAAACAAGATCAAGTTTGTTGCAGCCCTGGCCACATAGTGAGAGCTGCTCTCAAAGTTTAAAAAATATTTAAAGGTATGGAGAAAGTAGTTCAGAGAAAAGTCCTTGGTTCAATCTTCTGTACAATAAAAATATCAACCACATCTAAAATCTGTGGTATCCTGGAGAAATCCTTTTCCATGACACTTAGCTGATGATAGCCACCAATTTTTAAGCCAGAGCAAGAAAAACCATTTTCTAATTTCCATTTTTTCCTCAATAACAATCAGGGACTAGTATGTGGAAACACACTTCTTAGTCTCAGTATTCAGGAAGCAGAGTCAGGAGGACTGCCACAAATTGGAGGCAAACCTGAGCTACATAGTAAATTCAAGCCCAACCTGATAGAAGCAGTCTGTATTAAAAAAAATTGTTTTAATCAGGTTACCTGATCAGTAGCAACAGAAGACATATTTATCTAAATTTTACTAAGTCTTCTTCCTTAATGTTGGTGATATTTGATCCATTCTCAATCTATGGCAGCACACAATTCCTTTTTTTAAAATTGAGTTTATTGGTACATTTTAGGGATACAGTATAGTTATATTCATTGTTGGGATCTTGTAGCTCTACATGACAGGTCATGAAAATCAATATGGAGATACCTCAAAGAGCTGGGACTAGAGGTTCCATTTGACCCAGCCATCCCTCTGCTGGGTATCTTTCCAAAAGAACTAAAAGAATCATATCACAGTGACATATGCACACCCATGTTTATAGTGGCACAGTTTGTAATAGCTAAAACTTGGAAACAGCCCATTTGCCCATCAGCTGGAAACTGGATAAACTGTAATAGCACGATTATTTATTGCCACACTAACACTCCGACCTCAGGGGAAGACGCTGTGTTGTAGGCAACAATTTTACTGCCTTCACCATCCCCTCCTCCCATTTGCTCCTCTTGGCAGAGAAAACTCTTATCATTAATCATTCATATTGCTGCAGATCTCACATTTCAGACTTCATGCCTACTGCTATATTCCTAATATAAAGTCTACCTCAATCAGCATTTCAATTTTTAAAACAGTGCCTACATTCCAAGGACTATAGGAATGGAGGTGCTTCCCTTCACCTTTCCCACTCCTACCAAATCACATGCGATTTTAACTATTCTCACACAGTATAACTTGCAGCTCCTTCTGGAAGTGGTCCTTAGCAGGAACACTTTCTCTTGTCCTTGCAGACACATTAACATTCCCTCCATTTCTCTAAGTACTCTAAACTCTATAGGAAAGCCTCACCTAAGTGGTCCTCTGTTAGTAGAAGTTCCACGTCAACCGTTACATGATTGTTTTTGCAATGCTGTTGATTTAACACGCGAGTTCACCACATGCTGAGCAAGCACTCTAAAACCTATTCACATCACCAGAAATATTGAACATGTATAATTTTTTTTTCTTTTTCTGGGTTTTCTTGTTGTTGTTTGTTTTGTTTTGTTTTTTCTCACTACGTAATTTAGGTTAGCCTTCATGTCACTTAGCAAAGGCTGGACTCCAACCCCCAGCGACCTTCCTGCCTCACCTTCCGGAGTGCTGGGATTACCGGTGTGCACAACCACACCTGGTAAACCTTTCTCAGGGCATTAATACTTATTCTGAGTTTGGCTTGGGGGCACATGTTGGAATTTTGGCAATTTACTGTCATCACAGAGCCGCGTTGGCCTGAGGGGCTAAGGTGTGGCTCTGGGACCCTGTATCCCACATTTATAACATGGAGGTCTTCCAGATCTGCTGGAGGGACGAATGAGACCAGGGATCCAGCACACCACATCCCCCAGCTCGACTCCCCACCGGAATCAGGGTCTGCCCACAATCCCCTCGCTCCGCGCACAAGTAGAGACGCAGCCTTGGGCTGCGGCTGGCGAGACTGCACTCCCGGCTGGCGGGGTGGCAGTGGAGAGACAGGGTGCTGGGTACACCAAGTAGGCCTGCCTGAGGCAGGGCCGGAGGACAGAGTGTAGCAGGCGCCCGGACCGGGAGGCGCTCTGACTCGGGCTCCGGGGAGGGGCCGGCCGCCATTGCTGTTCCACCGCTTCCGCCCGGGCCTCCCCCGACCACCCCTGTCAGCGCACCCGTCCCACAACGTCACCATTGCGTGGCTACAGGGTCTCCCGGGTCCTTCCCACGCAGTCTGCAGCCAACAGAAATCCTAAAGCAAGGTGGTCTACCAGGGTACGGCAGCTCTCAGCATTGAACTCAGGATCTGTGGTTTTGCCGCCAGGAAACAGAGCCCTCCCGCCAGGGCCACCTGATTGGACAGTTCATACGGCCCGCCCCTCAACGCCGATTGGCTCCTGTTCCACTGCCCGCCTTCTGGGCTGAGAGACTGCTGAAGCGGATCTTCACCAGTGTGAGAGCAAGTCACATGGGAGATTGTAACCCAGACACTTCTTGACCAGTTTGTCTCCCAGGATGCTGATCTGTCCTAGCCTGCATTTAAGAAAAATTTCTCCTGGTTTCGAGCGTCTTCTGTCTCTGTTTTTAAGACAAAGTGTTGCATGTTTTGAACTCACTATGTTACTGGCTGGTCTTGAGCTCTTTGTGATCCTCCTGCGTCAGCTTCTTCAGTGCTGGGTTTACAGGGATGCACCATCGCACCTGGCTACTCCATTCTTCTTCCTGGACTCGGTGGGCTCTTCCTGTGTGTTGTTCTTCCAAATGGGGTCACCAGTCTGCTAAGCCAGTTCGGGTTAACTCGCTGTGAGAGAGTGTTCCAAGTCCAGGCAAAGCCAGGACGCAATGGGAAAGAGGGCCTGATTTTGTGAGAAGAAGGAACTTAGGAGTAAGGTTCTTGCCTTCACGAACAAGGCTTTCTCTTACTGTATCTCTTGATTTACTCACTCTAAGCCAAGAAAATACATGCCAAAGAGAAGCATATGATTGCTGAATAAATGTATTTTCTGGTGTTGAGGCATGGAAACCTAAGGACTTCAGACTGTAAGCTCTTTGTGCCCTGTAATTCCCTCTTCAAAAGCTGCAACTCTGCCTTTCAACACATTAATATTGCTAGAAGGGAAATATTTGCCGGAGTCTTGTGACACTCTTGGTCAAAATCTTGTTTGGCATTAGAGGTGCATAGGATACTAGTACAGCAATGCTGGAGTTGTGACATTAGGGAGTTTATCTTCTCCCTCCACCTTCCTCTGTGGCACCCGTTTTGTTCTCTGCTTCCTGGTTCTCATGTAGACGTTACCTTTCTTTCTTCGTTTCTTTCCACTATGAGCTAGTCCTACTATTTCTCCATTTGAGTCTAATAACAACTGATTTCAATCTCTGAAACCATGAGTTAAAATGGTCTTTTTATTTTTAAGTCCTGTATTTCAGGTATTTTAACATACAACAAAAAATAGTAAAATTAGCAGTTGGTCTGAACAAAATAAACTGCCAAATTTATCAACATTTTCTTTAGGAGACTATATAAATGGATTATTTCTATGCTTTTCATAGATTTTTATAATTTAAACATCTTTCAGTGTGACTCCAGCAACTCCTTTCATATTAGAACCACTTTACATGGTAACCAGTAAACAACTCTGAGAGGTTAAAGCCTCTAGTACATTTTATACAGATGTCACCAACTTTCTACTGCTGTGCAACTTGTGGCTATCACCACTCTTTCTAGACTTGTTTTGAGCAGCTGGAGACAATATGCCAAAGAGATCTTCATCCCAGGATGGTCCAAGAGGATGGTCTTACCATTCTTCTTTAGGCTCAATGTATATCACAGATTCACGTGTTAGTGGAAGGCAGAGATACTGTTTGGCAGGTAGAGATGCACAGGTAAATGGCAGTAGAGACCTTTAGGATCTTGGATCAAGTTTCTGCCATCAATTGCAAACATCTACTTTCCCTACATAAAACAGCTCTTGGCCTGTTAGTAGGCCATACTGGAAATGGAATGCTTGCCTATGAGACACTAGGTTACAATGGAACCAGAGTTGCCTATTATGATCTGGATATTATCTGATCCAATGTGTCATAAGATTAGAGGTACACAGCAATAGTTTATCATTAAATGGATATGGTATATATATGATTGAGCCAGAGACGGTCCAAAGGGTACAAGTCTGCTACATGAACAATTTTCCAGATGCCTAAGGCTCTACTCCTGCCATATTGCTCTCCATTTCCCAGTATGCACCTATGGCCTCATGGTATGTGCCGTATGACCAGAAAGAGAAGGTAAGGGCCTGGTTTACTCATGGTTCTGCTCTTTATGAAGGCACCATTCTTAAGTGGGTGGCAGCAGCATTACAGCCCCTTTTTGAGACATCCATGAAGTACAGTGGAGAAGGGAAATCTTCACAGTGACCAAAATTTTGGTCATACTCCTGGCAGTACATTTTACTTGGAAGGAGAAATGGCTAGGTACTCATATACCTATGATTCGTGGGATATAGCCAATAGTCTGGTGTGATGGTCACAACTTTGGAAGGAACATGACTGGAAAATTGGTGACAAAGATATTCAGGGAAGAGGCTCATCAGATCCAATTGGAAAATGGGCATCTGAAATGAACAGACATTTCTCAGACAAAGAAGTAAAAGCAGGAAGTAAATATATGAAAAAATGTTTCACATCCCTGGTCATTCCAAAGATGCAGATGAAAACAACACTGAGATTCCACCTCACCCCACAAAGAATGGATGTTATCAAGAAATCAACCAATAATAAATGCTGGCAGGGTTGTGGGGAGAAAGAAACCCTTCTCTGTCATTGGTGGGAATGCAGACTGGTGCAACCATTGTGGAAGTCAATATGGAGATACCTCAAAAAACTAGGATTAGAGGTCCCATTTGACCCAGCTATTCCTCTTCTGGGTATATTCCCAAAAGAACTAAAAAGATCATACCACAGTGATATATGCACACCCATGTTTATAGTGGCACAGCTTGTAATAGCTAAAACTTGCCCAACAACTGGAGGCTAAATAAGATGTGGATTTTTAATAAAATGGAGTACTATTCAGCCATAACGAACAAGAAACTAGAGACATTTATAGCTAAATGGATGCACATTGAGGCCATATTCTTAAGTGAAATAAATAGGAAACGTGTAAATATGGAATAGTTTCACTGGTGTGAAAAAGTAAAAGTGTAAATAAGGATAAAATGTATAATTGATAAATGTAAGATAGGAAGAAAAGGTGCAAAGGTGGAAGGGAAAGTGGGATGGGTTGGAGAAAGGAAAGAAGGGAGTGGAATTAATATGAGAAAATTAAAAAATGGAAAAAAAATCTTTTTAAATAGAGAGGGGTGGAGCGGGCAGAGAAATGGGGAAAAAATAAGAACCAAGATAGATTATATAAAGGTGCACATTTCCAATGATGAACATCATTATATTGTATACCTAAAATGTACCAATAAACTCAATGGAAAAAAGTAAAATTATTTTCCATAAATCTTTGCCATATGGGTACAGGATATAAAAAATATTTGTATCCTGCATAAACACTCAGCAAAAAGTGACCTCAGCAGAAGAGTATTTTAACAAGCAAGTGGATAAGATGACCCATTCTGCAGATAGAAGTCAGTCTCTTTTTTCATCCACCCCGATATGCTCCATGGGGTCATGAACAGAGTGGCCATGGTAGCAGGGATGGAGGTTATGAATAGACTCACTAAGTTTGATGTGGCTACAGCTACTGCTGAATGCCCAATATGCTAGTAGCAGGGACCAACACTGCGTCCATGGTAAGGCACCATTCCCCAGGGTGATCAGCCTATGACCTGGTGTCAGGTTGTTTATATTGACCACTTTCATCATAGAAAGGAAAGTGCTTTTTCCTTACTGGCATAGGCACTCATTCTAGATATGGATTTGCCTTTCCTGAATGTAACGCTTCTACCAAAACTACCATCTGTGGACTCATAGAATGCCTTATCCACAGCATGGAATTCCACACAGCATTACCTCAGACCAAGGAACATATTTTATGGCTAAAAAAGTGAGGTAATGGGTTCATGTTCTTGGAATTCACTGTTCTTACCATGTTCCTTACCATCCAGAAGGGGCTGGATTAGTACAAAGGTGGAATGGTCTTTCGAAGACAGAATTACAGTGCTAGATAGGTGGCAATAGCTTGCAAGGCTGGTGAATGATTTTTCAAAAGGTTGTAATTGTTTTAAATCAGTATCCAATACATGGTATTTTATCTTCCATAGCCAGGATTCATGGGCCCAGGAATCAGGGATGGAAGTGGAAATGGTACCACTCACCATAATTCCCAGTGATCCACTAGCAAACTCTTTGCTTCCTGTTTCCATGATTTTATGTTCTATTGGCTTAGAAGTCTTTGTGCCAGAGGAGGAAAGGTTGTACTATGAAGCACAACATTGATACCATTGAGCTGAAAGGTAAGACTTCCCCTGCTCACTTTGGCCTCTTTATGCTTGTGAGTAAACAAGCTAAAAAGGGAGTTACAGTACTGAAAAGGGTGATTGACTCAGACTACCAAGGGGGAAATTGGACTATTAATCCACAGTGAAGAAAAGAAAGAGTATACTTGGAATGCAAAAGATCCCATAGGGCACCTTGTAGTATTACCATGCACTATTATTAAAGTCAATGGAAAACTACAACAACCCCGTCCAGGCAGAATGGCAAATGGTTCAGAACCTTCAGGAATGAAAGTTTGGGTCACCCACCAAGGAAAGAACCAAGACCTGCTGAGGTGCTTGCTGAAGGCCAAGGAAATATAAGAATGGGTTGTAAAAGAAAGTAGTTCTAAATACCAGCTACAAACCCATGATTAGCTACAGAAAGGAGAATTGTCGTTGTAAAAAAAAAAAATCTCCTAATTTGCATCCAACATAATATAATGATGATGGACTTAATTTTGCTTCTCAAGTATTGTTAAGCTTATGTTCAAGTTATGAAGTATTAGGCGTAAGCATCCCCCCAAAAAAGCTTTCATTCCATTCTAGGAAGGGAATTAGTTTCCATATGTATGCAGGATAATTATAACACATTAGGCACAATTATGAATTTGTTTTTGTGTCTTGAGGTTGTGGTTTAAAGTCTGATTGTCAAGTTGATAGTTGTCATTAGTCAACCGATTGTGTCAACTTGAGTAAGAAACACCCAACCAGTCAAGAAAATATAAAAATTTTAAATAACCCAATATTAATAACTAAAATTGAGAAAATAATTTAAAAACTGTCCATAACCACAAAAAAGCCCAGATCATGATGAATTCACTGCTGAATTGTACAAGAATTATAGAGGAGATCTAATGTCACTAGTCCTCAAACTCTTTAATGAAATTGAAAGGGAAGTAATACTCCCAAACTCTTTCCTGGAAGCAACCATTATCCTGATACCAAAACCAGAGAAAGGCCCAACTAAAACAGAGAACTACAAGCCAATATCCTTAATGAACACAGATGCAAAAATCCTCAATAATAGACTCACAAACAGAATGCAACAAATCATCAAGAAGATTATACA